ATCATCATCATCATCATCATGATCAACAACATCATCATCATCATCATCATCATCATCATCATCATCATCATCATCATCATCATCATCATCATCATCATCATCATCATCATCATCATCATCATCATCAGCATCATCATCATCATCATCATCATCATCATCATCATCATCCCCTTCCTCCTCCTCCTCCTCCTCCACCCCTCCTGCTTCCTGCACCCCTGTTGTTGTTCCTGCCCTGCTTCCTTTTTCCTGCTTCCTGGTCCTCTCCCTCCTCTCAGGCCTACCTCCTCCTCTTCCTCCTCCTCCTCCTCCTCCTCTCCTCCTCCATTCTCTCCTCCTCATCCCCCTTCCCTCCTCTTCCTCCTCCGCCTCATCCTCCTCCTTGCCTCCCTCCTCATCTTCCTCACTCAATCTCCTTCTTCCTCTTCCTCCTCCTCTTCCCTGCCTGCTGCCTGCTGCTCCTGCCTGCTTTCTTGTGCCCCCTTCTGCCTGATGCTTCTCCTCCTCCTGCCCTCCTCCTCCTCCTCCTCCTCCTCCTCCTCCTCCTCCTCCTCCTCCTTCCCTTTTCCGTATAAGAACCTCCTCCTTGTCGCGCCCCGAGGCCAGTTTTCAGGGCGGGCCAGGCGTTTCGAATGAGACTTCTTCACCATTTACGACTCTGACGCTTCAAAAAGAGACAACAGCTTCACAGATGGAGGGCGGGCCGTTATCAAAATGTGGCTCTTGCCTTAGCGCGGCGCACCTTACTTTTCAAACATTGCAAGAGCTTCGCGGATTGAGGGCCGGTCGTTTTCAAAATGTGGCTCTCGCCTTAACGCGGCGCACACTCGTATATCTATATATATATATGTATATATATATATATATATATATGTATATCGGAGTGTTGGGCCCCCTGGCCGCACCCAGGACACAATGACAAATGAGGCCACCCCCTGGGTAACCCAATTTGGCCCCCGGGGCCCGGGGCCTGTTTTCGGTCCTTTGCGGGGCGGTTCCACACCCGGGAGCGTTCCAAGAGCATCCACGATCGCCTCCAGACGGCCTAAGAGGCTTCCAAGACGACCCCATAGCGCTCCAAGAGCGCTCGAAGACCGCTTAAGGTGGCCTCAAGACAGCCCAAGAGGCCCCCAAGAGGACCCCCACGAAGCAAAAATCGTCCCACTCCCTTCGGAAAACGTGCAATTTTAGCATCATCGCTTGTTTGGTTTCGAGAACGTCCAAGGTGGCCCGCGAAGCTCCCAAGGTCGCTCCAAGACTGCCCAGGAGGCCCCCAAGAGGGCCCCAAGACGGCCCGAGAGAGCCCAATGACGGGACAAGGGCGGCCTCAAAGAGGCCTACAAGGCTCCCAAGAGAGCCCCGAGAGAGCCACAGGAGGGCCACCACAGAGCCCCAGGAGCGCCCCAAGACGGCCCCGGCCTCCCAAGACTGCCCCAGAGCGCTCCAGGACGGCCATCGAGGGCCCCAAATGAGCCCCAAGAGGCCCCAAGAGGGCCGCCAAGAATGCCAAGTGATGCTATGTTGTGTGATTTTCTGCTGTCTTGGCGCTCTCGCCTCTCAGGTCTCTCAGCAGCTCACGACGGCCTCAGAGGCATCCCCCCGATCGCCCCAACATCCCCAAGACAGCCCAGGAGGCGCCCAAGACGACCAACGAGCGCCCGACGAATCGCCCCTGCATTCCTCAGTGGCACATAGGCAATTTGCGATACACGTTCCTTGTGCACGGCTAGAACCTAAGCGCGCGCGAAGCGCGCGCGTGGTTCTAGTTTTTAATATTTACACAAGTGTCACGGATTAAGGGCGGGTCGTTTTCAAAATGTTTCTCTCGCCTTAGCGCGGCGCACATGAGTTATCAACAATTGCAAGAGCTTCATGGATTGAAAGCGGGTCGTTTTCAAGATGTGGCTCTCGCCTTCGCGCGGCGCACATTCGTCTTCAACACTTGAAAGGGTTTTGCGGATTGAAGGCGGGTCGTTACCAAAATGTGGCTCTCGCCTTAGCGCGGCGCACATTCGTCTTACACGTGTGCAAGAGTCTTGCTGACTATTATCATCACCGTGCCAGAGAGGGCTTTTTTTTGAAAGGATTCAGGATTATGCGGGTGCAACAGTTATGTTGGCTCGCTGGTTGAAGCCCCAGGGATTCTGTTCTGGCGCGACTCAGGTTTATCAAGACGCAACAATCAGACTGATCAGTGGCGTCGGAATCCCGAGAGCAATGTTTTGACATGCTTCAGGGTCTTCAAACGGTTGTCTTCCAAAGAGGCAGTTCCGTCAATGTGCATGAACCGTTGTAGGGGCCTATGAAGAGGTAGCTTGGAGGGAGGGTTCATTCCAACATCGTTGATGACTCTTGGGTTTGCACTGGTCCCTCTCCTCCTCCTGCTCCTCCTCCTGCTCCTCCTCCTTCGCCTCCTGCTCCTGCTCCTGCTCCTGCTCCTGCTCCTGCTCCTCCTCCTCCTCCTCCTCCTCCTCTTCCTCCTCCCTTCCTCTCCCCGAGAACGCCTCTCGCGCACGAGCTGCGCGAAGCGCGCCAGCTGGGCGAGCTGCTCCGACGCCTCCTCGGCACAGCGGGGCGGCCCTCGCGGGCGCGACGCGGTCCGCATGCTCTGGAGGGGAAGGACAGCGCTGGTCGTGGCGAAGACGCAACGCGCAAGCGTTAGGTCGGGCGTGTCCTCCTTCGGGTCGGGCGAAAGGGGGGGATAGCAAAGGGGGGGTTTGAGAATCAGCTCACGTAGCTGATTTTCCCGGCGCCTTCCAGCGCCGGAGGCGGCGATGTATCGAGGAATGGGCCCCTCGGTGAGGCCGCAACCAGCTGCATGCAGCAAATTTCGTAACCCCCCCTTTCCCAATCCCCCCCTTTCGCCCGGCCCGACTCCTACAGGCGGGTTTTGGACGAGAAATGCATGGTAGCCCAAAAGAATACACCAAAAAAGCCAACTCGAAAATAGTCAAAACATCGTCGCCTGACTATCGTTTGATTATTTTTGAATCTTCCTCCTGTGGAGGGACGTGCCCGACTTGACACAAGCGTCGGTGTCGACCTTGGTCATCGTCCACCTTTCGAGTCCCAAAGCCCCTCGCGTAGCGAAAAAAACACGACGGGAGGTTTTCGCTATTTTCTACCTCCAAGGGCCCTCACTGGGCCTCAGGACCGTCACAAAATGACTCAGGATGAAACAGCGGTCCCAGGGAAGGGGTCTGGGTCTCTCGGGGTCGACGTTGTGAAAAACCATGACGTCGGGGGTCTGGGTTTCGAGCAGGGGATCGATTACAAAAATGATTTCCCCAAAAATGATTTACTCGCCGGCTCCATGAAACATGCGCATGATCTTCGTAGATGCATGTCTCTGGTACGTTCAACGAGAAGATGAATTTTTGCGTGAATCACGTTTGTAGTCGACCCCCTACTCGAGTCTTGGCCATCGCCAATTCGCGGATCATCCCCGCGGTACCGGCGGCGACTGGCACGGAGCCTCACCAAAATCGGCGTCGACGAGATCCCGCGCTATCGTCCCGGAAAGCTGGCGTCTCGATCCTGATCGATAGACAAGCGCGTTCCACCACATACTCGCAAAGTAACTACTCGCAAATGGCCCGGAACCGCCGCGTGGGATTCACGACCCATTGCTCAGGGGAAGACATCTTTTCTGACGCCTTGCGAGTACGCACTCTGCGTGCAGCGGAGCGCGCTCGGTGCAGCGAGGCACGGGCCCCCCACCTCTCGACCACTTCCCCGGAGCCGGTGCTTCCTCCCGATGATCGCCGTTTTCGCGGCTCCGAGGCCCGGTAGTGAAGCCCCGAGAGGCCGAAGGCGAGGAAAAATGTCCGTCCCGTCGTCGTCGTCGTCGTCGTCGTCGTCGTCGTCGTCGTCGTCGTCGTCGTCGTCGTCGTCGTCATCGTCGTCGAGACGCCGGACGTCCAGGCCGGTCACGACCGTTGCGTTCCTCCCCTCGAGGCTCGGAGACGAAGGCGTCCCGGGCGGCTCCGCTGGCGGGCTCGTCTCGAGCAGCCTGGAGGGGCCGCGAGAGGGGGAGGAGGAGGAGGGGGAGGAGGAGGAGGAGGAGGAGTAGGAGGAGGAGGAGGAGGAGGAGGAGGAGGCTGAGAAGGAGGAGGGGGAGGAGGAGGAGGAGAAGGAGGAGGAGGAGGAGGAGGAGGGAGGAGGAGGAGGAGGAGGAGGAGGAGGAGGAGGAGGAGGAGGGGAGGAGGAGGAGGAGGAGGAGAGGAGGAGGGGGACTGGCACGCGGGGGTGTGGGGGGGGAACACTGACCTTAGGTCGGGCGCGTCCTCCTACAGGCGGATTCTGGACGAACAATGTAAGAGATTCCAAACATACTCAACAAGATCACAACAAAGTCCGAAACATCGTCCCGAGATGTTTACTGACTATTTTTGAATTTTCCTGCCCGGCTTGACACTAACCTGGAATCGGCGACGCATCGCCGGTGGATCGGCAACAGGCCCCCGCTAGACCGCACGCTCCTGGGCGGAGTGGGCCACCGCGCCCCCCTCGGCGGTCAAGGGGCGGCTGGGGGTCGATGTGCCCCCCCCCCCCTGCGCCTGTCCCCCACGTTCTGCTACACGCAAGAGTGACCCTGGGTAAGAGTGACCTTTGGTGCTCGGCTTTGGTGGGGCCGCGGGGGGACCAAACTCAGGCGCGCAAGACGCTGCTATCGCATCGCAATCGGTGATCGGGGGACCCCATTGCGCCCGCACCAAAGGTCACTCCGGCGAAAGGTCACTCTTACGTGTAGTCGACACGGCATCGCTCACCCTCCGGATCTTCGCCTCTGGTCCCTGTCCGCGGCGTACCTTTTCCTGTGCAAGCTCTTCGGCACCGCCTGCATCCCGGGCCCCGCCCGCTCCGGCCGCCTGAGGCCCCGCCCTCCTGTGCCCTGTTTCACCAATGAAAGCTGTGCGTAGCCCGCCTAGCGTTTAGCGGAAGAGGTTCGCTCTCGCCCCGCCGACCACAAAGTGTAGTCGACACGTGCACGTCGGTCGGAAGAAGTAAGCAAACACATGCAGCAGGAAAGCGATCAAGCAGGTTTGGTCCGGGCCCCCCCGGGGGGGGATCACCAGACGCAGGCAACAGCAGACCGCAGACCGGTGCTGGAGGCAGGGAGGCACACGCAGAGCGGATCGGCACCTGGGCACCGAGAACCGGACCGAGACTCGCAGCGACCGACGGGGCTCTCCTCCCCGCGAAGCCTCGCCGACAGCGCCACCTGCGCGCCGGGGGGCACGATCGCGGAGGGCAGGCTCGCGGGCAGCGCCGGGCTCGCGGGCAGCGCCGGGGCCCTCGCCTGGACGCGGGGTCTGCTGGGCCGCCCCTGGGGCACGCCCGCCTTCCAGGGCTCGGCCTTGCCCGCGTGGGCGCTCGAGGGCCGCCCCGCTGCATGGGGCCGAGGAGGAAAAGCGAAGTAGACGTTGAGCATCGTGCATCTGACCCCCCTCCCGAACGGCGTGGCCTGGGCCCCACTGGCCGATTTCCCCCCCCCTAGACCCTAGATGGGGATATAGGCCGTTCCCTTTGGGCTTCGAGGGTGTATCCCCATCTGGGGGGTACTTTTGTGGGGGTCTCGAAGGGGATGGGGATGGGGATGGGGATGGGGATCCGTTAACCGATACTGGAGCGTCAGAACTTTCGGAGCTCTGCGCAGAGCTCCTGGAGAGCATTCTTCGACTCGCGGCCATAGCGGGCATCATTTGGGGGGGGGCGGGGGAGGTGGAGCCGTCCGCAATACGACGGTGCCGGTGCTGGGGACGCATTGCGGGGAGGAGCGTTACGCTATTGATGGGGGGCGAGGGCGGGAATGGGGGAGGGGGGGGGGGCTAACGCGCGCTATGGCCCAGAGGGTAACAACACACACTCTCTTGGGTGGGCGCTGGGCTCCCCGGCGGCACCTCCGGCGCCGCCCCCCTGGCGCGCTCCCGCACGCCAGGAAGAGGGGGGGCCAGCGCCGATCCAAGGATTCCGGGCGCAGCTCCGTAAGTTTCTGGCGGCGCGCAGAGGGGGGTAGGGGGAGGGGGGGAAGCTTCTCAGAAGGAGGCTGCTTCTTAGAAGGCGCTGGCCTTACACCTAGAGACAAACCCCGCGCCTTCGAAGAAGCAGGGGGGCTTCCCCAAACATGCGACATCCTGATTTTTTCACTACGGCGTCCCCGAAGTCCCGTCTCTTTCCACGGGACCGTTTTGTTCGCCCTGCGTCGTCGTTTGACGGTCCCGGGGCCCGGCGAGGGCCTTCACAGGCCGAACGCGGCGAAAAACCTCCGCCCTGAACCTTTGACGACGCGAGCTTTCCCTGGCCTTCTACTAAGCCTTCCCCCCTCCCCCCGTACGTACCCCCCTCCCCCCCTGAGCGCCGCCAAAAGTTCTGCTTATGATGGGCCTGGTTTCCACCACCACCACCATAAGTTGGGGGGAGAGAGGGTCCTCCTCCTCCTCCTCCTCCTCCTCCTCCTTCTCCTCCTCCTTCCCCCCTCCAACTTATGGTGGTGATGGAAAACCAGGCCCATCCACTTGTGCCGCTTCGCTCTTCCTCGGCTGGGGGCGCCTCGGCGTGGCCGCGAGAGCCAGGCCGGCTTCGGGGCCCCAATCCGAGAAGGGGCCTGCCGGGTCCATGGCCTGCGGGCCCGGCCGGCGCGCGGCAGCCCGCCCGGGCCGAGCTGCCGGCGTGCAGAGGGGGCGCTGCCGCGCCCGCCACGGAGCACGGAGCACGGAGGAGGAGGAGGAGGAGGAGGAGGAGGAGGAGGAGGAGGAGGAGGAGGGGGCTCGTCCAGAGTCCAGAAGGTCCTGTGGCTTGCGCCCGCCTCCCGCGCCCGCGCGCAGGCTCCTTGCCGGTCGCCCCAGTCCAATCACACCACTGGAAGGCCGCCTCCTTCGCTTCTCTTGTTCGCCCTCCTGTCCCTCCCGAGGCCGTGGTGGCATGGCTGCTCTGATCACAACGAGGGGGCCGAACGGCCAATCGTTGCCCCTGGGCGCGCGGCCGAAGTGGAGTTCCGCGGCGCGGATTTTGCTGGCGTTATTGTTGTTGCGTTGTTGTTGTTGTTGTTGGTGGTGGTGATGCTGATGTTGATGCTGATGTTGATGTTGTTGATGTTGTTGTTGTTGCTGCTGTTGCTGTTGTTGGTGCTATGGCAGTTGTTGTTGAATTCTCACTTCTGAAGAATACTAATTGTTGATCCCCCCCCACAGGTGCATACTGCTTTTTCTCAGTCAAAGTATGCCCCTCGACGCTCGCACCCTGTTTTTTGACAGGGGAAACCTTCCTGCTCAAACTAAGCCCCTGGCCCCCGGGTTACAACAACAACGGCTCCCGCTAGAGACTTCCTTGCAATTTAGCCAGGGCTCTCGCTCCCGCCCGAGACTTCCTCGCATTTTATTCCGGAATCGCGCTCTCGCTTGGGACTTCCTTACCATTTATTCAGGAATCGCTCTCCCGGCGCTCTGGAGTCGCGCGCTGGAGACTTGCTTGCAACTTACTGAAGAATAGCCTTGCGTTGGAATTTCCTGCAATTTGCCCAAGCGCCGCGCTCCCGACACCCAGGCACCCAAGAGTCGCGCCCGTTGTGGCCCCATGTGCATGCCCTTAGTGGCCCCGCTGTCGCCATTTGTGTCCCCCTTGCTGTCCTACGTGGCCCAGTTGCTACCCTCAGCGGCCCCATAGTTGCCTTCTGTGGCCCCGCATTATCTGCACTTCGTGGCCCCCGCTCGTTCGCGCTCTTCGTGGCCCCATACGCATTCCCTTCGTGTCCCCGCTGTCGCCCTTCGTGGCCTACTTCGTGCCCTTCGTGGCCCTGCTGTCGTTCTCTCTCGCTCTCGCTTTCGCTTGTCGTCGCCGTCGTCGTCGTCGTCGCCGTCGTCTTCGACGTCGTCGTCGTCGTCGTCGTCGTCGTCGTCGTCGTCGTCGTCGTCGTCGTGGTCGGTCCCCTGTCCGTTTCTCTTGGGGTCGGGTCGACGGTCCGCGGCCGCCCCGCCGATCAGCGCTGCCGCTGGCCAGGCCGACGGTCCGCGGCCGCCCCGCCGCTTGCCAGGGCCCGGCCTGCAGGGAAGAAATGTATACCCCCCAAAAGGGGTTCGATCGAAGACGAAAAGGGCGGGTATCAAGGGTTTGGGAAATACGCGTTATTGGACACTCGAGCATATAAGGGCGAACGGTCTTAAAATGATTGTTGTTGTTGTTGTTGATGTCATTGTTGTTGTTCTTGTTGTTGGTGTTGTTGCTGTTATCGTTGTTGTTTAGTGTTGTTGTTGGTGTCGTTGTTGATGGTGTTGCTGTTGCTGCTGTTGGTGCTGCTGTTGTTGTGTTTGTCGTTGTCCTTGGTGTTGGTGTTGGTGGTGGTTGCTGCTGTGTTGTTGGTGGTGGTGTTTTTGTGGTTGCTGCTATTTTTCGTAGTAGCGCACGTCCTGGCTCCAGTTGCTGTTGCTGTTGCTGTTGTTGTTGAACATTATTTATTCTAAAGAATAATTATTGTTGGGCCCCCTGGTGCGCGCCCCCCCTGCGCCGCCTAGGCCGCAGCTACATTTTCATCATTTTCGTGAGGAAGCCTCAGGAAAACGATGTGTACAGATCCGGTTGTTTTGTTGTAATCCGCTTTCCCTTGCAAAAAACACTATAAAATGACATTTCTTGTTCTAATATAATCAAATTTCAAGAATCCCTTGCAAAAAATAAGGTAAAGTGGACATTCGCGCGCGCAAGACGAAATCCTTCCAAAAGCTTAGTGTTCGGAGCGATTTTAACATAAAAACATCAAAAAACCAATGGTTTTTCAACAAAAAATGTCAAAATCTCATCCCGCGCGCTCTTGCGGATTCGTAGGAAACCCAACACTTTTTAAACATTTCTGTCAAACGGGCTTTTGCGAGCAACTTTTTCGAACTTCTGCGACAACGGTTGCGCACCTGCCAGGGCCATCATCCCTGTCAAATAATACCATGCGGGACACATTCGTTTTTTCTTCGCGCGCGCACGCCGTCGTCGTCGGCCGCGGGGCCCTGAATAGTAGCCACGGTCGTCCGCATGCCACGAAGTGAAGTGTCCGAACGTCATAGGGCGGGAAGCTGGGTGTGGGTGGTGGCGAAGAGTCGTTTGGAAATTTGGTAGAGCTTGAACCGGCCCCCCCACAAAGTGGGGGTATTGCCCGCCTCCTGTGAAAACCCTGGCACTGGTGAGAACACTGAGCGTTCGGGTAAAGTGATTGTTGTTGTTGTTGTTGTTGTTGTTGTTGTTGAAATTCTGCTCTCTGGGGGAAATAAAATTGGTAGCTCTAGATGTAAAGAAAGGGATGGGGGGCGCGAGCTCGCCCTACGGGGCTGGGAGTGGCGTCTGCACTGGGGGGCGTGGTCCCCGAACAGGCGCCCAGGGGCCGGGTGAGGCGCTGGCGCGCAAGGAACGCAGGCGACCACATCGGCTTGAGTATTCCCAGCGATGTTTGCTGAGTCTGATCGGGCGAGGGCCCCTGAGCAGGCACCTCAGGGTCGGAGTGGGCGTATGGGGGCGCGCGGGCGAGCATCAAACCTTGAGGAATCCAGAATCCTCGGGGAGTCCACAGGAGTCCTCGGCAGACCTCAGGGATTCCGTGGGAACGCTCAGGACTCCGCTGGGACTCCGTCGGAAACCTTAAGTATACGGTTCCTCCGGATTCCTGAGGAACCCTTCGGGAACCCTGAGGAATCGCGATGATTCCTCTGGCGATCCGTCAGGAATCCTGCGGAATCCTCAGGCAGTCCTGGGGACCACGTAGAACTCCTCATAGTCCTGAGAAGTCTAAGGGGTTCGTCAGGATCCTCACGGGTTCCTCGGGGATTCCTCAGGAGTCCTGAGGAGTCCTCGCGGATTCTTCAAGATCCCTCAGCACTCCTCACGGATTCCTCAGGACCCCCTAGACTCCGGAGGAGTCTGAAGGAGTCCTCAGGGATTCCTCAAGGCTCCCGATGATTCCTCCGGGTTCTTTTTACGCGTGTTCCTCTTCCTATATTCTTGTAAGCCCCGGCGGGGGGAAAACCCGTCCCCCCCCCAAAACCGGACTCCCGGGATCTGGGGCTATGGGAGCCTCCGGACGGGCCTCGAAGCGGTTCCCGGGCCTCGCAGGGCGTTTTGCCAAGCCTTCCCAGCACACCGAGGGCGATCAGCGGGGTCATCGGAGACGTCCCAGACAGCACAAGAGCGCTCCAAGAGTGACCGACGTGACCTCAAGATGGCCCAAAAGGCCTGCAGGACGGCCCCAAAGAGGCCTCGAAGAGCACTCCCAAGAGGCCCTCTGATTTTCTGCGAGTTTTTGATGAATTTTGGCGTTCTCCTCTTTTCGGCTTCCCGACGCTCCAAGATGGCAGTCTTCTGGGCGTCCGAAGCCGCCTGGGAGGCTCCAAAATCGCCCCACAACAATCCAAAAGGGCTTCCAGGCAGTCCAAGAGAGCCCCAAAACGGCACAACACGGGTCCAAGATGGCCCTCAGAGAGCCCCATGGCGGCCCAAAATGGCCCAAGTATACCCTCCGAAGCATTCCAAATCGTGACCCGGTCGTTCAGGGAGACCGCGGTTGGAGGCAGGGTGGCCCGAGGAAGCCCCCAGAGGCCCCCAGAATACGCCCAGAAGGCCTCCAGAAGGTCTTAAGGAAGCCTGAAACAACTTTTGTGAGGCCCCCAGGGGCTCTCCAAGGAGGAGCCTCCGCAGAAAAGAGCTGAGGAGGATGGCGAAAATAAGGTCAAAGAAGCATGGAGGAAGGATAATGAATCGGAGGTGAGGGGGTGAGATCGAAGTGGAACGGAGAGCCCCCCTACCGGGAAATCGATTTCGGTTTCGTGTTCGTGCGTGCCGTGCGCGCGGGCGAGGCGAAGCTGCGTGGGCGGGCGAGAGGAAAGTCTCCTGTGGCTGAGGCGCGGCCGGACCAAATGTGTCTCTTCCGGGCGGCCGGTGGCGCGCGGTGTCCCGCCGGTGTCCCGCTGGTGTCCCGTCGGTGTCCCTGTGGCTGAGGCGCGGCCGGACCAAATGTGTCTCGGTGGCGCGCGGTGTCCCGCCGGTGTCCCGCCGGTGTCCCGCGGTGTCCCGCGGTGTCCCGCGGTGCCCCGCGGTGTCCCGCCGATGTCCCGCGGTGTCCCGCGATGATGATGAGATGATGATGATGATGATGATGATGATGATGATGATGATGATGATGCTGATGCTGATGCTGATGCTGATGCTGATGCTGATGCTGATGATGATGATGATGATGGTGATGATGAGATGATGATGATGATGGTGATGATGGTGATGATGATGATGATGCTGCTGATGCTGCTGATGAGGATGATGATGATGGTGATGATGATGATGGTGATGCTGATGATGATGATGAGGACGATGATGATGATGATGACATGACATGATGATGGTGTCCCGATGATGATCATGATGATCATCATGATGCTGCTGATGAGGATGATGATGTCGAAGATGATGATGACGATGATGATGATTATGATGATGATGCTGATGCTGATGGTGTCCCGATGATGAAGATGATGATGATGATCATGATGATTATGTTGATGATCATGATGATGACGATGATGGAGTCCCGATGATGATGAGTATGATGATGTTGATGTTGATGATGCTGATTATGATTGTGTCCCGATGGTGATAATGATGATGTTGATGATGATGAGGTTGATGATGATTATGGCGTCCCGATGATGATGATTATTCTGATG